AATAAAAAGGTCTGGGACCCTTATTTCAAAAAAAAATTTTAAAGGAGGTTAGGGATGTAGTTCAGTGTGAAGGTCCTATTTTCAACCTTCAGTATCACAAAAATAAAATCAATGAATAAATGCTAGGGATGTAGCTCAATATCAAGGCCCTGGATTCAATCCCAAAACTATAAAAAGTGAGAGGAAAAATAGGAGGCAGGGAGAAAAGGAGGTTTTGTTGTTTAAAATCGTTCAATTTGGGAATAACTTTTCACATAATAGTTTATAACTAATATTAAAGTTCTCCAACCTTTTTGGATCTGCAGTTTAATGTACTTCATTAGTTTTGGAAATTCATCATCTCTTGAAATATTTCCTTACCCCATTTTTCTTTTAGAATTCAATTCCATTTAGTTGTTTCTTAAGGATAGGGTTGCTAAAAAATATGCTGTTAGGTGATTTTATGATTGTGTACACATTATAGAATGTATTTATTCAATACTACACACTTAAACTATATTGGCTGGCCTATTGCTCCTAGGCTACAAGCCTGTCCAATGTACTACTGATCACAATAAATATTCATAACACAGGATTATTCATATATCACATTAATTTTACACTCACTATAACCAAATGCTTGTGATAATTGTAAAGATAAAAGGCTTATTTTGGCTCATAGTTTTGACATTCTTGTCCATGATCAACCCCATAGCTTTTGAGCATGTAGTAAAGTAACAAATTATTGTAGTTATACCACCTTTTAAAAATTTTTATTTATTTATTTTTATTTTTTGGTACTGGTGATCAAATTCACGACCTTGCACTTTTCAGGCAGGTGTTTATGCCACTGAGCTAAATCCCTGGCCCTTTATTTTTTATTTTAAAGAGAAGAAAAATAGAAATAAGAGTTTCACATCAAATTAATAATGAGACTAACAATAATATATCATGTATTGACTGCTACCTTCATAGTACTAAAAGTACATGATATATGCATGATATATCATCCAAATAATACTAGCCCAAATCTTTTCAATGAACTAAGAGAAACTCATGTATAACAATCTTAACTATATTGTGTATATATATATTTTTCCCTTTTGCTCTTCTTTCCTTTCTTCTTCTCCCCAACAATTTCTCTTTTCTATTGAACAGTTTCTTCTCATTTCACAATGTCTATTGTACATTTTTGGATCTTACTCATTTAGTTTCTCGCACTAGTGAGACAATATGATGTTTACACATATTAGTCTGAATTATTTCATTGATATGTATGGTCTCAAATTGAATCCATTTACTTAATAAAAGTCTCAAGTTTATCTTCAGGACTTCATTATATTTTTAAAAAACCATCTTTTCTATCCATTCCTCAGGTAATGGGCATTTGTTTCCAAGATTTAGCTATTACAAATTGTGCTGCTATAAACATGGAGTACATATATCGCTGTGATGTTTTTATTTCTGGGGAGATACCCAGAAGGGGAATAGCTCCTCTAAAGGAGGTCCACAGGAATATCCACACTGACTTCCACAGAGTCTATACTCCCACCAACAATGGAGAAGGGTTCCTTTTTCCCCACATCCCCACCAGCATTTGTTATTGGTTGATTTCTTGATGGCAGACATTCTTTTCGGAGTGAGCTTGAATCTCTGTGTTTCTTTAATTTGCATCTCTCAAATAACAAGTGATCCTGAATGTTTTTTCATGTATTCCCATTTATTTGCCACTTGTATTTCTTCATCTGAGAAGTGTGTATTCATCTCAAATGGCCATTTTTGGACTGGATCTTTGAATTTGAGGGGCCTGACTTTTTAAAATTCTTTATATGTTTTGCATATAAGTTCTTTAAGGGACAACTGACTATAATTTTTCCCACTCTATAGGTTGTCTTTTCAGTCTTTTGATTTCTTTTGCTGTACAAAAGCTTTTTAACAGGTGAGGTCTCATTTGTCGATTCTTTGTTGTATGTCTCATGAGGTCTGGGTTTTGTTCACAAAGTCTCTGCCTATACCTTCAAGATTAAGACCTATTTTCTCTTGTAGAAGTTTCAGTGTTTCTGTATTAGATCTTTGATCCATCTGGACTTTAGTGCATGGTGATAGGCTTGAGTCTAGTTTTAGTCTTCAGCATGTGGAAAGCCAGCTTTTCCAGTACCAGTTATTAAAGAGGCTTTCTTTCTTCCAGTGAACAAATTTGGTGTCTTTGTCAAAGATAAGGTGACTGAGTGTGTATCACCTTATTTAGTAATATAACTTTTTAACCAAGAGCATCCTATAGGACTAGTATTTAGCAGAACAAACTTCAAGAAAAGTTTGCTTAGCCACTTTTTACTATTGTCTTGTTTATCTTTGTGTCTCCAATGCCAACCAGCACTTGGCATTTTTTAGGTATAATTAACTTCTATATGTATCATTCACAAGAATGGTATTAGAGGCTAGAAATATTTATACATTTGAAAAATTGAGCACTTTGGATCTGTTACCCCAAAGACAGTAATAGACATGATTTGGTATTTTAAGGAATACAAGGAACAACTTCCTAGATGACTTCCTAAATGGAATGTGAAGATGAAAAGAAGTTTTTGCAAGCAGGTAACAGGCAAAGAATATTTAAAAAAAAAAAAACCATGGAGAAAAAAATACAATTATGAAGAGATTAAAAACAGCCTCAGGAGCAAAAGGTTTGTCTAAAAAAAAGTGAGTTTGGAAATTTAGGCAAAGGCCAGATAAAGGGAAAAGTCTTAATGTCATTGTTAAGGAATTTTGGACTTACGCCACAGGTGATGAAAAGCTAGAGATGAAAATCTTCCCCATACCTCTTTTCTGCATTAAAATATATTTGTGTTATATTCAATACATATTGTCAAAATTTTGTATTATCATGTCATACAAAATACCTCAGGCATTTTGCTGAGCAGTGGATTATTTATGTTGTCCCTTTAAAGCTCAACATAAAGTATATTTTTGTTGATAAGGGACGTAGATTAGACTTCATTTATAGTTTCTATTTTCTGAAGTGATTTTTGGCATAAACTTGCAATATGGTATTTTCTAACTCTGTTGCTAATGCCAACAGTAACACCATTTCTGCTAGGCAGACTTTTCAGCAACCCAGTTCATAAACTATAATTAGTTTTCTATAAAAAGAAAATTATTTTATTTCTAAATTTCAGCCTTTATTATATTTTTGCTATATATATATATATGTGTGTGTGTGTGTGTATATATATATATATAAATTCCTATTTGGGATTTGCCCAAAAGAATCCACATCTTTCCAGCCTATACATTCTTTTATTTAAAACAGGGTTTTCTATTATAAACTGATGTGGTGATGTAATTTGTAATCCCACCTACTGAAGAGGATGAGATCAGAGGATTGCAAATCCAAGCCCAGCCTCAGCAGCTTATCAAGGCCCTGTCTCAAAATAAAAAAATAAAAAGGGCTCAGGATGTAGCCCTGGATCCAATCCCCAGTACCACCAAAAAGGAAGGAAGGAAAGATGGTCACTAGAAATAAGAAATAATACATGAAAGTTAAAAACTTTTTTCAGTTTCATCTAAGTAAGCAATACTATGATACAAACACATATCTGAATATTGAATTAAAGATCACAGAATATATATATGTATTATTATATCAGTTAATTGTTAGGGTTAAGGGATCAAGTAAAACATGTAATTTCAAAATCAGTGGTGGCAAAGAAATGAATGAGCAGCACTTTTGTAATTTACTGTACTTACAAATAGTAAATATGGTATCTTTTAATGTAAAAAGCACATTCTCAAACGTATTACATACTAGTGTCCTGTATATCTGAAAAAATTCTCACATCTTGATGAAAAATGATCTGGAACTAGTAACTAATTTAGTACAGAAACAAAACTTTTAGCTAACACATCACAATTGTCCTCCAATAATAAGAGAACCAGATGCAAAGAATATATACTATGCAAAGAATTGTGAATTTTCATTAACTATGAGGATAAGTAGTTTTAATGGTTGAGGGTTGCTCAATTTGGAACTCGCTATTGTGAAGTATTCTTATTTCTGGGCTGTACTTGCAGCTATGTACTCAAATCTTGGTGTGAACAAGGGAAGAGACAAGATTTCTCAAGATCCAGTCAAGCCGGATGATCTCTATGCCTTTGGAAATGAAAAGCTAATTAAGAGCCTCCCTAGGGACAGGTCAAAGGTTTGTTTTGGTTTTTTGTTTTTTTAAATCTAATCCTTATTGCCCTTATTACAGTTCCTTGCTGCTTTATTGCTGCCTTTCACTCAGCCTGCTTAAAATCTATACTTGGTGCAAGTTTCCGCCTTTGCTTTCTCTACTGTAAACGGATTCTCAAGTTATTACAATGAAGTTTTAAATCCCTTGTACCTGACCTCTAAATTTCTGAAAGTGACCAACACTAAAATTTTTTCTTACATTTTTTTTCAGTTACCTGTTTTAGTGCTTAAGAATCTGACTAAAATCTTACAAAGGACTTTAAATATAGTAAAGGTATTTGGTAAATAATAGCCAGTTTTGTTTTATGTTCTTTTAATTTCAAAGATTGTAATATGAAATTACTTGGTTTAAATTCCTGTTGGATTCATACTGACATTATTTCACTTTGAACCAGTTTTAACCTTTGAAACTACCTAAACTATTTTGCAGGCTGCGTAATGCCATTAATCTCATTTCATTGATAGTATAATGAGACATAACAAAGCACCTTTATATTTTTTACATCCTCCTCTCCTCGCATGAAAAATGAACACTGAATGTGTGTCAAACAACATTGTAAGGATGAAAATGTTCTATCCAATTATGACAATTCTGTGTGAAAGAGTTTTCTAATATTTAGGATGGTGTGGGCACCCCTCCAATCTTGCCCAGCAAGCCGCCACGTTAAAATTTCGACTTTTAATTGAGGGTTCGAACTGTAAAATTTAACTATAAGTTTTCTCTACGAACACTCACAACTAACATCTAGAAGTCAAGAAAGGTTTAATAATGTTTGCTAATTCTTACCACACCAGTATCTTAATCTACAGTCTCAATACAGCATATAGTCTTCCGCTAGTCAAGAAACACCCGCTTCCTCCGCGCCACGATATCGCTGCACCTGGTTGGGGCTCGTGCTTGTCAGTCATATAACAGAGGGTGGGATTTTAAAGCCTTGCTCTAAAGAAGACGCTGGATGGTTACGTCATCCCGAAGCGACAAAAGCGTGGTGGGGGTGCGGTTGTAATTGTTCCTTGGTAGTGTTAGGGGCCTCTAGCGAAGGTGTCATGGCTGCTGCCACGGATCTGAGTTGCCCAAACAGCAATGACAGGAGCCTAGAGCAAAGCTGCAGCCCCAACGTCTCCCGAGAGGTACTGTGTGAAATCTTTCGCTCCCTGCACACCTTGGCTGGACAGGTGAGTGGGCTTTTGGGCGCAGGAGACCCATCCAGCCTCTCCACCGTTTATTGCTCCAGTGGAGGGGGAGCAACCGTGCCCTGCCAGTGCCCTGCCAGTGCCCTGCCAGTGTGTGCGACTAGGCCACTGCGTAGCTGAGGCCGGGGGAGAAGCCCAGGCCTAGTGGCTTCAGATCTAAGTGAGGAGGATGGTTGTACTGCTTTAGTTCGCTACGAGTTGCCGACTAGATTACCTTGCAGCTCTCATCGCTAGAAGAGAGTGGGACACCCTAAGAGAAAACTGACTCCGAGAGGAGCACACTTGTAGAGAATGAATGCACAGAAGTTTCTGTTGAGGAATTCGGGGGCTCCCTGGTGTCAGGGTCTTTTTTTCCTCCAGCATATATTTTATAGAATTGGTTGGTCAATATGGCCTAAGGTTTTTGGAAAAGTGCCCTCTTTTCCTTTTTGGGGTGATTTGCTCATATGAGTCACTTGGTTTTGTTTATTCTTGTTTTCTTCGTGTCCGTTGTATCTGTTATCCTTTGAAACGGGAAGAAAAGTAAAAGGAATTAATCTAAAAGTTAATTTGTAGTGTAAAATTGCATGAGTTACCCAGGCCGATTCAGATTGCTTAAGAACTGACGTTTACTAGCTAGTTTAACTAGCTGATAAATCGCTTTTGCAGAAATGTGAAACTGGTTTTTTTTGAACTGTGCTCTACGCTCTTTTAGATGAAAACAGTATTTCATTTCATGATACAACAAAGGAGTTGTTAAATGAGAAACAAAAATTTTCCCTGCTTTAAAAAATACTTTTTTATCTTACACGAACTATTTCTTAGTTTGTTCTGAAGCCAGTACTACTGCATTTAATGGACATTGCAGGCATTTATGTCAAAGATAGTTTCTGTGAAAATAGAACATATGGTTCATTATTAACAATTATTAAAAGCCTCAAGTGAATGGAAAATCAGTCTTTTTTATAGTTATTTTGGGTTTTGTTTTTTGTTATTGTTGTTTTCGTAAGAAGCAATTATTAACAGAATATCCTAAAAGACAACTTTCAAACTCAGTTATTTGCCAAAGTCTTACAAAAAAAAATTTTTTTTATTATTTGGGAGCTTTTGATCCCTATTAATTTTTCAGTCGTAAAAATCTCAGACCTTTAAATCGTTTGAAAGTTAAAGAATTTTTTTATGGTATGAACAATTGTAACTTTTAAGCTTACTCATATTCTAATGTCAGTATAGAAAATAATTATGCTCACCTCTTATTTGCAGAAGTTTTAAAAACTAAATTGGGAAATGATTATGATTTAAATGTCCCTTAAATATTTTACATACTAAGTTTAACTCACTTAAAAATTTTTAAACATTCTGGTATTTTAAAGGTCCAATATAGAAGTGATTGAGTTTTACATATGTCAACTGTCAAAAATGTTTAGAGTAAATATCCTTGATTTTACAGTGGCACAATGAAGGCGCCATCTATAGAAGTATTAAAAGTAAGATTGTTTCCTCAAGTAAATACTAATCATTTGGGTAATACTCTGTACTTTGGAGATGCATTGAAATGAAAGTCAGAATATATAATTACAAAATTGACCCCACAAAGTCAGTATTTCCTTTTGCAGTACATATAAAGCATTTTTAAAATGCATGTTATACAGTAATTTGCCTATGTTCATCCTAAAGTATCATTATGTTTTTCCTTCAATATTATCTCCTTAACAGGAAGATACAATGCATGATTGCCTCAATAGAGGTATAAAATTGACTGATTAAAAAGTATTTTCTACTTCAAATTGCAAAGTTTACTAATTTAACCTTTTCTAATTGCTTCTGAATGGCTCATTTTACACAGCTAACTTAGTGTTAACGTGGATTTTATATTAACTTTCTACTAAAAATGAATAATTAATAGCATACTAATAGAGAATTTTGAGTGAATGGTTTACTATTCGAAGATCGATAGGTTAAAAATGCAAAGAATACATATGACTGATAGGCAATTTGTTGACTATAAATAGTTGGATATATTGGATTCATTTTAAAATTAATTTATAACACTTTTATGTGTTTTTCCTAAAAGACCAAGAATCTTGTAATTATACTTAAATGCTGACTTAAGTCTGCTGAATTGAAATAAGAATGTGATCTAAACATTAAAGTTTATTTTCTGTGGGCTATTTCCTCTAGGAAAATATGGTAGTTTTCATTGCTGAAGGTTTACTTGCTTTTCCGCAGGCTACATTCCTAAATTCGCCATAATCAGTTTTAGAGTTCTTAGTGTACTGTAGAAGTATAGTACTGGGTTATTTTTATACATAATATATGTTGTAGGCATTAAAGTAATATCAGTTGCATTAAATGCATTAATCTTAATGTAAAATCATAACAGCCAACCTAAAATTTCATATGCTTTACATTTGTCTGACTCGGACTTTAAATGCGTCTGGTTTCATGTTCGAAGGACAGTAAATTTCTGTCATGTAGTGTTTATTCAGTATGTTGCCTGTTACAGAGATCACTTTCTTTGTACAGTGATTCATGTTTTTGTTTTATTGTAATTGCAACTCATGAGATTTGTATTTGAACTTATACAACATGTGTCTTTTTTAGAATATGTGACTCATTTTCAGCAAATTATTCTGAAAAATAAAATATAATTAACTTCATTCTATTTTGGAATATTATTTTCCTATTGTGCTATAGCTACATCTCTAGAGATGTTTATGGGGGTTCACTTTTATTCAGTTACTGCAGATAGTGGCTCTCTAGAATTTTCACTGATGTTAATACTAGTTTTATATCAGATTCTTAGTTTTTTGGATATGATTTTGTTCTGATTTATCACCAACTGATAAGAAATACACATGTAATGAAACCTCATATCTTACTAGAATATACTATTTAGCAAAAATACCAGACAGTCCACTGTCTTCCAAATTGTTTCACTAGAATGGAGGAGGGTTTTTTTTTTTTTTCAGTTTCAGACTTCCATAACTGAATAACAGTTTAATTTTTATTTGTAGATAAACATTTTGCCTCTTATCCCTAGATTTTACATGAATGAATAACTTGGATATTTAAATTATTTTTTAAAATGGTTGAGTTGAAAATAATAAAAACATTATTAAGAAAACGTCAGAATGATGACGTGTCATGATATATTTCACATATGTATTTGTATACATATTTAACAGAAATGTGCATATTAGAACCTTCATAAAATAGTTGAACCTTCTCTGTTTAATGTCTGAGCTGGAAGTGGTAGGATTCTGAGTAAGGCAAGCATGTTTGGATCTTATCCAAAGGTATTTAGATGCTGAAGTGCCCCCTTTTTTTTTAATCTTTCATAGATAGTTTCACCTCTAAGATGGTCCCATTACACAGACCTAAGAATCCATTAAATTTAAAATGTCATTTTGTGTTTTATGAAATGCTGCATCTTCATGGCCTTTTAAAATGTAACGAGGCAGAGCATTTTAATGTATCATTAAAAACTTGATAACTTTGATAAGCATGTGTTACTTCATAGAAATCTTATTTTTGTGACAATCCCAGATATACAGCTTAATCGTGTAATTTTTGTGATGTTGCTGGTTTGCCCCTTTGAAGCTTAACCTCAAAGATGATGTGGTGAAAATTACAATCGATTGGGACAAGCTCCAGAGCCTCTCGGCATTCCAGCCTGCACTGCTCTTTAGAGCACTTGAGCAACACATTTTATATTTACAGGTAAATTTCTTGTTAGAAATTTAACTTGATATCACAGATAGAAATTAATTGTGGTTAAGTAGTTGCGTGTATATTTGTCGGTTCTATCTTAATACTATATTAACAGTGTTATCAACAGAAGATTACTTACATCCAGATTGGATCTAAATCTGTTAATTTCAGTAGTGATGAGGAGAGTTACAGGAATATAGCCCAATAAGCCGATGTGGGTATGAGACTGAATGAGTACAGTTCTATTCAATTCTAGACTTGCACCGAAAATTCAATACAGTTCCATCTATGGTGGGTTATAATTAAGCAATAAGACACGGCAGGTGTGTGTCATGCTATGATAATGATTCCATGCCTTGGGTGAGTTTGGAGGCTCATGGAGTGCTTTCAGTGGTTCAAGAAGTGGCATTATCCCAGCATGACACATCCTGGAGTGTCTATTGCAATTAAACAGTTTCAGCATAGTTTTTAAAAAGAAAGTAATTTCTGTGACATTAATGTCTTATCTTAGTAAGTAGCCAGTCACTATTTTACCTTTTCTTAGCAGTTTGAAATAATTCAGCCTTGGTATTAGAAGTCAATATTGAATTATTTATACTAGTATTGTTATTTTTTTAATATTTCAGTTCAATAACTGATCAATATTATGGCCTGACTGGGTTCTAATTGAACGTTTCTGCAATTATAATTGATGTATGTTTCAGTTTAATCAACATGTAAAATATGACGTCAAAAAAATAAGTAAAACTGTTTAGATTGGTCACTTTACAGTGAATTAAAGTGTTAACATTTCAAAAGAGTAGTATTTGATATATCAAACAGTGAAAGCAAAATTGTGGCTATGAAAAAAGTAATTAGAATATTGGTTTAAGTGTTGGTGTGTTTTGACTACTGGAGTAGGCATTAATTTTCAGCCCTCTATTCAGTGGGAAAATTTTGTGGGAAAACTTAACTCTGTGATTCATGTTAAAAGTACTAGTTAACCCTGTTTTTAAAGGGCAGGGAAATGAGTTGTAGAACTCAAATGAAACCTAATTGTGGCAGAGGAACACAGTGGGAGAAATAAGTAATATAATTTATATTATACAACAAGGCTTTCTCCCCTCTAGTTTAGTGGTAGACCTCTGTTTTCAGATATAAATCTTTAGTTTTTTCTTGTTCATTTTCTTAGTAAAATTTAATTTCATGACCCAGAAAGATAGCTTGCCATGTCAGAAAAAGCCTGAGTGTTCACTCAGCGTAACGCCTATACATGTCATGTCCTGCTTGATCATTCATTTTGGTCAACTGCAGTTTCAAGTGAAGAGTCTCCAGTGCTACAGTGATAACTGGGGCTTTGCTTAGGGAAGGCTGGCTGTCCTGTGAAAGAGGGAAAATGCTAAGCCTCAGTATTCAGAGGAGGCATCTAAATGACATGTCAATTAAGTGACATTGGTACCACAGGCTTAAGGTTTTGATTTGGCACAAAATAAAAGATGAGTGACTGATTGATTTCCTCAAAGAAAATTTTAAATTTCTTTTGGTTTTCTTTCTTTTTCTTTTTAAAAAACAAATTCATACTAAAGGTTAATGGTCAGAGTAGTGGAAAACTGTATGTGACCAAACTTATGTATCCTTTTGTGTCAACTTTTTATTTTTAGTAATTGATATTACATATTTCATTGTTTAGAAATTTATAAAAATATATTAAATGTATAACTAATTTTGTTTCGTTTGAACCCCAGCTGATAGAATTGTGTTCTTCTCAGCCTTTTTTAGCGAAACTTCAGCCTGTCATTAAAGAGGAAAATTCAGCTGCTATTGAAGAGATAGGAAAAATAGAAGCAGGGAGCAAGAATGAACTAAATGCCGTATTTCCCACTAGTGACTGGCAAGAGGAAGAAAAGCACAAAGATTGTGATTTAGGAGATGTGAAAAAGACACAAATCCATTTTGATCCAGAAGTAGTTCAAATAAAGGCTGGAAAAGCAGAAGTAAGAAATTCTGGGGGTCAAGCGGGAGACATTACTTTTAAAAGTCTTACTGTGTTTACATTGTTAAAATATACTTGTTTATAGATTGACAGAAGAATATCCGCATTTATTGAAAGAAAGCAAGCTGAAATCAATGAAAACAACGTCAGGGAATTTTGCAATGTTATTGATTGTAATCAAGGTAAACCACCTAGAAGTTAAGTTTCATAGGATTTTAAGCAAAATTTAATAGTTGTACTTTTTCTCTTTAAAACAAAACTGTAAAAACAATTCATTTTACAGCTTTTTAGTAACTGAGGCAGTAGAGTGTCCTATTTACTATTAGATTGTATTACAAAACATCGTATTACAAAAAATTTGGTTACATTAAAAATCAAATGGCATTATTAAAAGACTAATGTTTAACACAGGTTTAGAAAGATTATTTTAAAGTTCCTCTAGGAAATAAAAATGAAGTGTGTTGGGTGGCAGGATTGTTCAGCCTTGCCATTATGAAGGAACTAAGCAATATACATTTCAAGCTTGTAAATACACTGGTGAAATTATGTTAAGACAAAGTGAACTTGGTAAAGTTAATAGTATTCCTCAAGAGGGAGCAGTTTTCTCATTACTCCTGACTTGTGTGAAATGTTTTATGTCACTATACAGCCAGTTTATCATGAAGACCATGGTGCCTTGTGCTCTTTGCCTTTCTCTCTTAGTGCATACATTTGCTATTTTTCCCTGTTCTCTTGATGCTATAGTACATTTACAGATCTGCAGGTATGCTGCAGAATACACAGCATTGCATAACACTTGCCATAGATCATATTCAAGCATCCTAGTAATAATCAGAGCAAGTAGTTCTTAGGAAAAATTATGGAGAAGAGTTCATAATTAGAGTGAACATTTTTCTTGTTGCCTGTAGTATCTCTTGGCTAATTATTATGAACAAGAATTGTCAGATGAAACTAAAAGTGACTCATTTCATATAGATATACTGATTCTCTTAATGAAATGAGAGGCTCAGGTTGGGTCCTAAATTCAACTTTTTCTACTGTTAATATTTACATTTGCCTTTAAATTTGGTGTATTTTCCTCTCAGCTTTTCAGAACAGGTACAGCCGGAGAAAAGTCTTAGGTAGCACAATCCACCTGCAAGCAACCCATGAAACAGGGTTTGTTGAGGGAGCAAGCACATGTGTCACTAATGTTATTCCTCTGTTCTCCCTGCTAACTCTATTATTATAAACCACCAGGGATAGAAATTGACGAGAATTGAAATGCCCAGCAGGATTCCTTGGTCTATTCAATCTCTTGCTGGCTCAAAACAGTGCTGGCAAGAATTGATGTGGAGAGTGACTAGCACTCCTACATTCACTGTCTTCACACCGTGCCGAATTTCTCACTGATGGGTCAGTTAATCTATGTGTTTGGAATATAGCTCTGAAATGGATGATAGCATCTTTTTTTAACCCTTCGCTCCATCAAATGGTAGAAAGAGAATGGAGATGTAATCACCCTTTAAGTATACTTTGAAGTGTCTCCCCCAAAACAGAAAATGACTATTTAGTCTCTAAATGTAAAAGATGAGTGCATTTCGAATTTTATTCACAAAATTTAACTTGTCAGCAGAACAGTTAATGAAATTTAAACTCAAAAAAATACATTTTAATGTGTTTCTGTTGAGACCGCTCAATTTGACCTAAATAAATGATTGAGATTTAAAAAAATGTTATACAGAGGAAAAAGAGAATTTACTGTTTCATTTATCATTCATTTTTTTACAAAATATTTAAGACAATCTTGCAGAAAATTTACTGCCAGTGTATTGTTTTACTAATGTTTATTCAAACATTAGTGTACATTTTTACCATATAGAATTATATATTATAATATACATATAATAATATATAACATGTCAATATATAAAAATATTAATAGTATTAGATATTACACTAACATTGTCCTAATTTTCTCTTTATAATTTATTAACATCTAATTTGAAAGAAATTGTATTTTCAGCTTTGAAAAAAATTGTAACAAATTTTCACAACATATCTGTCCTAAAATTGCAGTTTTTGAAAATGGAAAAATAGGAAGAAGTAGAAGACTTTTGTATTAGGAATTTTTTCATGTTCACGACAGGACTGTAATTTGTCTCATTGCCAAGCAGTTTGCACAGTGGTATGTGCATAACTGTCCCATTGAGTGGCTTCATATTAATTGTATTAGTAAAACACTAACGAAGAATGTGTTTGAATCTGTTTGTACCACCAATGTTATAAGCCACTCGATGGAATGGTCATGCATGTACTGCATGTGGTTCAAACTGGTGGAAAAGTGTTAAGTGAGTATTGGAAATCTAGGTGGAGTGGGAAAATATGTGTTAAAGCTGAGGTTTCAGGATCTTTTATGTAGAGTTCTGAGTTAAAGGATTTAAATATATAATTAATCCATTTTATTAGATGTTTGCTCATTTGGCAGATAATATCAAAAATGCTGAATTTTTTTAAATGAGTTAGTAAAAATGAGTTATATTCCTATGAAAGAGAATCAAAATATATACTACAATATATAAAGTCTTTAGAATATTGGAGTTTTTTCATTAAAAATTGTATTGTTATGATGCTTCATAGCTTTTCCTAATGTAAATCTGAACATTAGGTAAAATACTAGGTGTTCTGATTCATTTTAGAAAATAAATGTTACTCAGTTCTATCTGTGATGATAATTTAATTACTTTTATTTAAAATTATATTCACATATAAGTAATATGAATTATTGAAAGTTTATCAAAATCTCCAGTGTTTGAAATTAAGAATATGTTAAATCTTACATTCATCTGAATTATCCTTAGAAAATAGTTGTGCAAGAACTGATGCCGTTTTTACACCTTACCCCGGATTTAAAAGTCATGTAAAGGGTAAGTAACTACATACCATTGTCACTGACAGAGTGTATTCTAGATTTAAAAAATGAAATAGAAATAATTTACCTATCTAAATTTTACTTATTTTAAAATTGTCGTAGGTGCTTTGCCTTTTTGCTGAGACAAAATACTCAATACCCAGAGTTAAAGGATTAAAAGTTTATTGTAGTTTACAGTTCATTAAGGTTTCAGTCCATAATCAGCTGGTTCCAAGGCAGGGTGGCATGGCAGAGGGGCATCACAGAGGAGAAATGGTTCATGGCACGCACGAGGAAGCAGAAGCAACAAGTCGCAAACAAGTGACAACAACAAATCTCTTTCTGTCCCTTACCTTTTATGTAGGCTACCTGCTTTTAGGACAGGTAGCACTCTCACGCAGGGTGGCCCACGCATAATTCTAGCATCACATCTGAATCAGTCCTAGCATCACATCCTTAATCCCAGCATCACTCACTCTAGATCCAGCCTCTGTAAAACCCCACCTATGACTGCATGAGGCTTTGGGGGGGGGACATCTAGAATTAAGCCTTAACAAAACAAAAATACTGTCTCATCCTTAAATTGTGGTTAGCTATCTTTATGGAAAGAATATGAAGTACTGTTAGGAAGAGAGAATTTCTATTTTCAAAAGTAAATTTACTTTGGCTTAAAAGTTTCTTAATTTAGTTTCTAGAGTTGTCAATACATATGGACCACAGACTAGACCTGAGGGAATTCAAGGGTCAGGTCATAAATCTAACAGCATGCTTCGAGACTGTGGTAATCAGGCTGTAGAAGAACGACTACAAAATATTGAGGCTCACTTGCGATTGCAGTCAGGTAAGTAAATCATTATGTGGTGCCCCGTGGTGTACCTCTGCAAAGTGGTTAAAGGAATTCAAATTCATATAGTTAGCAAGGTTTTACTGAGTGCCTGCCATGTATAGTTCTATTACAAGAATAGATAAAACAATAACTACTCAAGAAATTTACAGCTTTTGTTGTATCTGCCTTTCCTCCTTTTTATTTCTTGCTGCTCTCTAAAATTGAGGAAGTCTAGTAGATTGAAACAGGTTCCAAGTAGAACCTGATAGCCTGAGTTTATTAAAGTCAAAGCTGAAAACATATGTCTTTTCCTAAAACCAATTTCAGAGCTTACGTGACTACATCTTAGTTGTCACCCACTGTTAACTAGGTCTATACAAAGTGTTGAAAAATATGATTCTAGTCCTCAGGGATCTCTCATTGAGGGTAGGGAGAGTGAGCATTAATTGAACATTAATGCCAGTGACTCTGAAAGTATTATGCATATATCAATTTAGTATTTAACAGTATTCTTTTGAGGTGTTGATGCTTTTGTTGTATATACAAGTTACTGAGTTTCAAAGAACTCAATGTGTCCAAGGTAGTGACAGCTGGAAAAATGATCTTCTGTCTACTCAGCTAAAAATTCTTGCATGCACACCAAACATAGTACTTAATAATTCATTCAACAAATAGCATTAAGCTCCTGTTTAAGCCATTATTCTAGATATTGAAACTACATCTAACCAGGAATCCTACTTGGAAGAGGCAGGTAGTATAAACAATAAACTACATGATATGCTAAAAGAAAAGAGTTAATGATCAAAACATTTTGACCAAGAGAAAGGAAAAGAGGTTGGAACTGGAGGAAAATAATTTTAAAGAGAATAGTCCATGCATTAGCCATATCTCTGGGCTTTCTGTCTCCTACACATTTTGCTGTCCTATGGTCTTTGTACCTGACCTTTGCTTGCTAATCCCAAATCAGTGTGGATCTCCTTTTTATATAACTTCATAGCACCTGGTGCTTCCTGCCTTCCTTTAAAATGGTCATTGCAGGGGCTGGGGATTTAGCTCAGTGGCATAAGCGCCTGCCTTGCAAGCAGGCAGTCGTGAGTTCGATCCCTGGTACCGATAAAAATGAAAAAGACAAAAAAAAAAAAAAATAGCCATTGCAGTTCTGTTTGTTTAATGCTCATGTATCCAGCTAGGTAGTAGAATCTGTGAGAGTGGAACTATATCATACTCATTACCATTTATACCTAGTGTAACACCCAGCACAAAGAGGTGCTCAAATGTTTACTAGTTGCTTATTTCACTTTTTCACATAATGTACACAATGCCTGCTGTGAGACAGAGTTAAGTGCTAAGATTTTTCAAGTGTGGCATCCATGATGAAGTGATATTTGAGCCCTCAAAGGAAGCAACGTGTCCCCCAAAGAGGAAACAGCAAGAAAAAAGCATTCCAGAAAAAGAGAATAATGTCCACCAAAAAAAAAAACAGTTACAAATTTCTGAATGTAGTATAGCTGGAGTATTTGCTGGATGGAGGTGGAAAAGGCTAAGGGAATGAGTTAAGTCTTTGAGGGCAATAAGACATTAACAATAAGAGTAAATCCCCTCTGCCAGAAGTAGATGCATTTAAAATGCAACTGTATACAAGAACTGACTGATGAAGTTTCTAACAGTTTTAGGATGTTAATTCTTTTGGAAAATTTCTGTTGAACGCTTACTGTGTGTTGAACAGTGTTTTTAAGTACAAGGAATACTGAGACAATGTAGTCAGAGGCCTTACCTTCAAGGACTTTATAATCTACGTGAAAGAAATATTACGCATAATGAGGTAGAGTTTTAAGGGGCAATGAAAGTTGTGGGGGGAGGGAGCACAAGGACCCTCCCAGTGAAGAATTTCAGCCAATCTTCATGACCCAGGAAACCTTGAACTGGGTCTTGAAAGGTACAGGAAAATGGCGTGGATGTTTTAGGTAGAGAAAGAGCAAAGTGAAAAGAAATCTTAACAAGAGTAAGAATGACCAGGGTCCTAAAATAAAAAACACAGAGCTCCCCTCCCAAAAAAATTTCTACACTATACATTTAATAAGTTGGTAGCTTTGATATAATTTACCAATATTCTTTAATTGAATACTGATCAACTCCTTATGTTCATTCAGTTAGTAAATATTGGGTACCTGTTCTGTCCCAAGGATCATAGTCTACAAAATTGATGCTTCCTATTTTTGTGGAATGCACAAGCTGCACAACCATAAACAGTAAGCAAAGCACATGAAACTTTGTCACTTAGCACATGAAGCTTATCAGAATGGGAGCGAAAGAAACAGCATGTTGTTGGGTAGTACTAACTGAGTGGGAAAAATTGAGGAAAGGAGGGTAGGGAGTGCTGGTAGGAGGGTGTGGTAGCACTGGAATGGTCAGAGCCCTTACTGGCATTACCTTGGAACTAAAACCTGAGGTTGGCAAGAGGGGATTTTGGAGATGGAGGGAACCACAGCAACAACTAAAGCTTTCAGGGCATCTGGCCTACTTGAATAACAGAAAAAGGAATCAAGAAACTGGAACCATAGGTATATAGGGGGAATGTAGGACTGTGTAGGCCATTTAAGGCCTTGTATACCATTGTAAATGCTTTGGGTTTTAGTTGAAATGAAATGTTAAAGGTATGTGAAGGTCTGAACAGAGAAGTGACATGATCTGACTTACATTTTAAAAGGATCAGTGGTCATTGAGTTGAGATTGTGGTCTTGGGAAGAGCTGGGGAGACCAGGTGGGAGGTTATGATGGTCCAGCGGCAGAAGGTAGTAGTCTGGACCAGCAGAGTCCCTGGGGGGGTTAGAAGGAAATGAGTCATGAATTTGAATTCCCAAGGACTTTAATTTATCATTTCCCTGCCCCCAAAATTTATTCATAATTATGCTAATACCCCTTTTTAATATTATTCTAGGTCAAAGGAGAAAGTGGCATCTAGAAAGAAATACAGAAATACTTCAACTACTGTATTAAATTATCATTTATCCCTGCATTTTTACCCTCTCAGGAAACTTGCGAAGCCCTTCAGAAATATAGGTTGTTCAATGCAGAAACCATGTAGTACCTATAAAGTGAAATTATCATACAGCTAGCATTAGGGGAAACATAAGGAGGATTTGGAAAGGGGAAGTATAATATAATTTGTACCATAGTGTGTAACGGAAATATGAGCTAAGGATTTTATTCTATTATACTTTATTTTGTTAGGTTTAAATATTTCTCTTTTCTTTGCATAAGTATGTTTGCATGATTTTTTTTTTTTTTTTTTTTTTGTCTTTTTCCTTTTCATCAGTACCGGGGATTGAACTCACGACTGCCTGCTTACAAGGCAGGCGCTTATGCCGCTGAGCTAAATCCCCAGCCCCCTGTTTGCATGATATTTTAAGAATAAAAATTATAAGAAGAAAATATTCAGTACTTCATTTTTTTAAAACATATTTAGGTGGTCCAGTGCCAAGAGACATTTATCAGAGAATTAAAAAACTTGAAGATAAAATCCTTGAGTTGGAAGGTATCTCTCCTGAATATTTTCAATCTGTGGTAAGTATGAATGTCTTTCAAAAATAATTATTATTTATATAACAATTTATTCATTGATGTGTGTGTAAAAAACACATATAATTTAAAAGTAAATGAACACAGTTTTACATGGAGAGTTATATATAGTTTTCTAAAAATTCTGACTCAAGTATTTTAGAAATTTAGTATTTTTTAAGAAAAGATTTGTATTACACACATTCTCCAAACTCTTAGGCCATTTTCATAGTATAAAAAATCACCTTGGATGGTGGTCGGTGTTGTAACTCTGAACTTGATACCATGTCAGTGCTCCCTCTGGGCCCTTCCCTGTCAGTTGTCCCTCTACCTTATTACTCTCTCCCACATTATTTTCCTCTGCTCATAGACAGTTAACATTTCTTCATACTAAACAAGCACCTCAAGCTGCCACTCTTTTTCTTGACCTTACCTGTCAGACTTTTAAAAAAACTGGTCAGTAATTATATAATTCAGCAACTCTGGCATTCATTTATTGTTACCTCTCCTTTTCCAGACACTTAAGAAAGCACATTGATGATAAGCATCTTTGGCACATTAGCATTTTTCCAACAATTCTGAGCACATTGTTTTTTCTCAGTCTTCTGAGGCCATTATATGTAATTTTTCTGAGATTTCTTTAAAAGCTATACTGTATTAGAACTAAAATAATTTAAAATATGATTATACTAAAGCTGTTTATATAAAATAAGATTATACTAAAACTATGTAGCATGGATCTTATAAAATATATTTAAATTTCATTTTAGGTATAATAGTCTTAAGTGTTTGAGTGAATTATAGAAGTACTTACAGAGGAAAAAGTCAGGTCAGATAATAAAAAGGCCAGTGGATCCTAAAGGACAAAATTCAGAGAAAGAGGTTTAGAAATTTACTGTTCTCAAATGTAAAATGAGATTTATAAAATTTACTGAAAGCTAAGGCAAAGATTAAAAAGATACCAAACACTTAGCCTATATTAAAAAGTTGGAAATATTAGCATTTATTTAAATTTTAGAAACTTATCTGTGAAGTAGCTATACAAATAAGGGTCAGTCAACTCTTGAGACTTTTGAATGTCTAAAATTTTTAAAATATTTTCTGTTATGTTACATAATACAAAAAGACCTTTCTACTTTTACTTTTTTTTTTTTTTTTTTTGTACCAACATTCAAATGCACGATCTCATGCTCACCAGGCAGGCTCGTATGACCAGTGAGCTAAATCCCCAGCCCTAGGATTATTTTTTGACTGTTTCCTCCTAGAAAACTTCGTTAAAATTTTTATAGTTTTTTTTCCCTGCAACAATCTACCATGTTTTTTTGAATCACACTTCTTTCATTCAGTGATCCCTCTGAAGGTTATTTTTCTAGTTCATTTTCATATCTTGTATATAATTTTTGTTAATAGAGCTGATCTTACAAGAGGTCTGGTATGGCTGGAGATACAGCTCAGCGGCACAGTGCCTGCCTGGCAAGTCTTGAGTTTGATTCCTGGTACCAAAAAAAAAAAGTAGCCATGAGAGAGTGGTGATATCACATATCTCTAGTCAGACCCTTCCATCATAATTTAGGTGTTTTTCCTGGCTCTGATTTATATAAACATAATTTAGACTTAGCTAACAAAAGAACAAGACTTTTATATCATTTTGTGGGGTTTTAAAAATTTTTTGTTTTGAATCTGTTACGTATAGGATAGAGTAGTATTTGGTTAAAGATAGACCTAATCCAATTGCAGGAGACCTTAGATGCTTTAAATCTATTGTCTAGGGTTAGAGAATGGGGAATCTATTGTAAACATTTGAACAGAGAAATGACTTGTGAAAAAAAATAAAAATTTATTTAATACTATTATAGTAAATCAATGAAAAGGGAGAAACTAAGGTCAAGAAAATGTTATACTTGCTTGCATTCAAAGTCAGATCCTGAAATGAGAACATGAGTAACAATAGAAAAGGCTAATGCAACTAGGAAAGAAAACTTGACAAATATTTTGATGATCAGTTATGGAATAAGAGCAAGGATAACTCCACTTTCTGATTGGAAACATGATACCATCATTGATAGAAATAGAAAAATGTAGAAGAGGGATATTTTTAGGTGAATATGAATTTGAAGTCATAAGAGGATATGAAGTTAGAAATATTAGGTTAGCTTTTGGAGATATGACTTACACTAGCTCAGAGATTCTGTGCAGAGATACTAGTTAAAACACTGGTGGGTAAGCTCACTGTTGCCATCAGAGGTCCAAAGTTTGAAACTTGTTGACTACCTAACATCAGGGCCAGGAACCTTAAAAATGTAGACTGAGAATTGACTAGGTATTCAGGAAAGGATGAGTGATAATAAGCTGGGATGCAGCCAGTGTTTTTTAAAAGTATGTCCAAATCTATTAAAAGTAATGTATGTTTGATTAGAAGAATCATTTCTCAACTAGTTTAGAAATGATATATTTAAATAACAGTAGGCTAGAAGGATGTATAGAACTAGAAAGACTAGTTGTTCAGAGTGACTCCATCCTCCAGGCCTACAGAGATTGGCATACACCATAAAGGAAGAATTTCATATTTACCCTTTCACATGAAATAAAGCCAGCTCAAGGTTTTTGCTTGCACTGAGAGTTGAGCACACTGAGTACTCTACAGAGGACATAGGACATTACTCTTCACCCTCACCATCCTCATTCTGAGCTACATGGGTAGTTCTTGCAAAAGCACAATTCTATAGCTTCTAAAGTTAGAAATTAAGAGAAAGTTGAAACCTTTACACTTCTTAAGAATCAAATCTATTAAAAAGTGTAGATCACTTCTAAACATGTGAAAACGTCTTACAACTGCATGGAGATTGATTATCATGGGTAATGTGACAGCATAGCATATGAAAAGGTGAACATTAACATCTAAAATTATAAATTATACTCAACTCATAAAACCAAATCAGGTTATTTGAAGTTCTCTTCATTTAATGAAATATATAAAATTCCAAAGTAAGTTGCAATGCATATAAAATAAGAATTATGAAACATGTTAATATTTGTTGGATCTTTTAATATAATTATTTGAAAATCTTTACCCTTCCAGTTAAACATGGAAAAGTTTTAATGTGCTAATGTTTTCAAATTTTATGATCATAGCTTAATAAACTATTTAAAATATCTGATATGAGTATTTCCAAAGACTGACTTCTTGACTTTAAATGATAACACTTGAAAACAGCAGTGGAACATGCTTCACAAATATATTTTCACACACTTTGTTCATTTCATAGCACTTGTCACTTACAATTACATGTTTACCAATCTGTTCACACTATATTTTAAACCTTTCAAAGCCAGGAACTGTGTTTTTCTTTGAACACATGGAATACCATGATGAATGTTTAGAACATGGCTGATAGTTAATTACTAGACTGCTGATGGTGTATTAACTTTGATTGGACAGAAGTTTTAGTCACTACTAATGGTTGAAAACTCCTGGTTCCAAATTGGGAAAGGGGTATGGTGAAAGCTGCCCAAGACCAAGTCAACATTGCAGCCACAGATTGTGTGTGTGTGAAAGTTCATGGTAGGCCTAAAGTAGGTATAAACAGTTACATCCAGGTGGAAAATTGTGTATATATGTTTTGATAGGCCGTAACGTCACACTAGCCAGTTTGGACTTACAGTATCAACAGAGTTCAATGAAGTTTTGAGAAAGAAAGAAGAACATGTGATCTAGATCCCTGTCTGGTAGCATTGTGAATGCTAAGTGGAGTGAAGGAAACTAGTTCAGAAAGCATTTCATTTCATCCAAGTTAGAAATAAAGGTTTACATCAAGACAGTGGCACTGTAAGAAAAAACATTTAAGATCCTATGCGCACAGATCCGTTACCCTTTACAACTGATTAAAAAAAAATTCAGCTGGTTAGGAGAAGCCTCTTTACCCTTGAGTTTCTTTAGATCATGCATTCCCTGGACATGTGTTTAAAATTTGTTTTCTTTAGGCTATAGATATTGTTGATGTGGCCATAAATTACCTGCCATGATGAATATTGGGAGGAAAGAGAATTTTGAATTATCTCTATGCAGTTGTTTCTTTAGTATGCTGTGCTCACATTTTCTCTTGAATATGAAAACTTGTGTAAATTGCCACCATTTGCATTGAGATGTAGTACTCACATCTAAAACAAATTTTAAATCCAGTCTACATGTGAAAATATTTTGCTCAAGCCAAAAATAAGCCCCACTCATTTTACTGCTTAAGTCATTGATCCATTGATACCCTTATTCTCCTCATTCTGACATTTTTCATGTTGCTTTCATGATACAGAAATAATCTGATTGCTTAATGTTATGGCTTATGTCTGGATGTCCTCCCAAAGCCTCATGTAATCATAGGTGGAACTTTTTCAGAGGTGTCTGGATCTGTGTGTGTGATATTAAGATTGATTCATTATGTAATGCTAAACTCAAGAACACTAGGGATTAAGGATGTGAGTGCTACCCACCCTAAGTAGTCAGGAAGGGGGAGAAAGATACTGTTAAGTCCCTTGCTGCTTTTGCTGTCTTCTGAGTGGAATGAATTATTTTCCCTCTGCAACACCCCTCTAATCATGTGTCACTCTGCCTGAGAACCAGCTGACTATAAACTGAAACCTCTAAGGACTGTAAACCAAACTTTTCCTCCTTTAACTTTGAGTGTCAGGTATTTTGTCTCAGCAACAAGAAAAAAAGTAAGACAGAATTTGATACCAGAGAAGTGGGGCTGTTGCCGTGACTATATCTGACCTATGGTTCAAGAGTTTTGGGGGAATGTTTGTGGGAAGAGTTTGGAAAGGTTCAGAGATGCTGGCTGAAAAAGCACAACTGGAACACATGAGGCTGCTTTGTATGGGAGATTCCCATCAGAGCTCAGAAGATCAAAAAGCTGATAGAGATGCTGCCGGTAAAGACTAAGTTCAAGGGATTTCTGCTGGAAAGAAGTACTGCATTGATTGTTGGACTCTGTGCTTTTTGCTTAGCAAAAAGTTTGTATTTTGCTTGTGACGAGATTTTGCCTAAGTCTGAGATTGAGGGAAAAGGACTGATTAAATCTAGCAGAAGAAATTTCAAGGCAATATTGAGCCAGTGGCATGGTTACTGTTGGGAGCTTTTAGCCAGATTTACATTGAAAGTCAAGAGCAAAGAGCCCAGCACAATGATATAAAACATTTTGATTTGACCAAAGAAAAAGCTCCAGTAAAGCTGTGGAGTGCAAAGATAGACCAGAGTTCTTGATTGCTGAGAAGGAAAGGAGAATAGAAAAGATGGCCTGAATACTTCATAAGAACTAGCCGTTGTGACTTCAGAATTGCAAAGGTGAAAGACTTTCCTTCAAAAGAGAGCCCAGAGCACCGTGTTCCAGAGTGGTGGCCTAAGGAAGTCATAGACACTGCACCCCTATAGTCAAGAGGCAAGGAAGCCTTGGCTATTACTCCGCATCTGGCAGCAAAACTTTGGAATCATCTTTCTAGGCTGGTTTTAGGTATATAAAATATGCAAGAGTTGTGGAGTCAGGAAGGCTTCCACTCAGATTAAGAAGAAGGCCTGGGAGGCCAGGCAGTTATGTCCCTAAGAGAGCAGTGTGTGAAGCTGAAGGTGCAGAAGAGATCCCAGAAGTTTGGAAAAGCCAGGAATGTGTCAAAGAAAACTATAAGGAGGGAGCAGAGCAGGCCCCAAAGAGAACCCATAGGAACTATAACCACTCACGGTACCAAAGGGGCAGAGCCACCTAAGCCCTTTAGAATTCACAACTTGCCATAGATTGCTAGGGATGCTGGAACTTTAACTGTGGGGTTTAATATTTGCCCTGCTGGTTTTTGGACTTGCTTTTTTCCCATTCCTTGCTATCCCCTTTGTAACTTCTGGAATGGAAATGTCTATCTTGTATTGTTGAATGTTGGAAATGTTCATCTTTCTTTGCATTTTTACAGACTTGCAGCTAAGAGTTTGTCTTAAATCTCAGAGAAAACTTTAGACTTAGACTTTTTAGCAGTGCTAAAATTGTTAGGACTTTGGCATCTCTTGGAGATGGTTTTTTGCATAAAGGAATATGCATGCGTCTTTGAGGGGCCGGAGTAGAATGTTATGGCTTTTGTTTAGATGTCCCTCCAAAGCTTCATGTGGTCATAGGTGGGTTTTCATAGGTGGCCAGATTTAGAGTATGTAATGCTGGAATTGATTCATGATAAAATGCTAGGCTCAAGGGTACTAGTATTTAAGGCTACAAGTGCTACCCATCCTAAGTAGTCTGGATAAAATAAAGGGCAGAAAGACGCTGCTAAGGTCTTTTGTTTTGCTTTTGCTGTCATCCTCTGCCATTCTGCTTTAGAGCCAGCCAACTGTGGACTGAAACGTCTACCAACTGTAAGCCAAATAAACTTTTCCTTCTTTAACCTTGAATTTGGGATGTTTTGTCTCAGCAGTGAAAAAAGTAAGACACTTAATGACATACCAATATTCAACAGATTAAACTACTAGGACCACAAGGGAAAGGTTATTTTCATCCAGTATATAAAAAGCCACCCCTTGGGAAAGTAGGAGACTGAGCAATGAAGAAATTAAGCATTAAGAGCTAGGGGTTTAGCTCAGCGGCAGAAGCGCCTGCCTAGCATAAGCGCAAGGTTGTGAGTTCAACCCCTGGTACCAAAAAAAAAAAAAAGAAATTAAGCATTAAGCCCTTATCTGCCTCAAGCCCCCTTACCTTACCCACCACAGTTATCTAACTTAGTTTGGTAAAGGAAGGAGCATATTTATGTGAGTTCTGTTATTCTATAATTACTAATCCAAATACTCAATGCTTTCCTGTTGTTATTACCAATAAGAGCCATATCTACATGTTCTTTTAATCAGCTTTTGGCACAAGCAAAGATATATGTATTTGTAAATCCCAGTGGAGAGAAAGATTCATGAAGATTTTGCAACCTGCCTTTAATTTCACCTAATACACTCATTTACTAATTTGGCATTCAAAACTTTGAGATTGTTATGAAACTAAGAACAAAGTACAGAAAGAATTCATTAGATGAAAGTTCACTAAGCAGTTTATCAGTGAATGTTGTCATTTGTACATAAAACTTGAGTTCAACTGGATTAAACAGTTTAGAAATGTCTTATAAAATAGAACACCCAATGATGACACAGACTTCAGAGTTCATTGATTTGGTGACTAAATCATGACTATCAAAGAACTGAGTTATTTCTCAGCTCTGCTTGGTGTTGGCTTCTTCCTTAAGCAGATGGCAGGACAGTGGTAGTACATCCAGGTGTCTTGTCCACGTATACTAGTGTCCATAGGAACTGGCTCTTTCTTTTCCTATAATGTCACCTCTTAATCCCCAGAAGACCTCTTACTCATAGGCTGGAATTGGGTCCATATGCATTTTAGTCACTAATGGAACAGTGAATGGATCACTGTTTTCGTGACTGACAGAGAATCAGTGCAAAGAGTTCTTGCATAGACAGCCACAGTGCCCATTATAATCAGTAAAGGATAATTAGTGTGTGTGTGCCTGTGTGGTTGAGGGGAAGGTTTGTACCCTTTGACCTAATATGCCAAATTTCATTTTCCTTTATTGTTGCTTCACTTATCCAATATCCTAAAATACATAGATTATATAAAAAGAAACTAAGTAGAAAAACTCTGAGAGCACCTCTTTCTGTAATGGCGGCGCCTGATCATAAGCTTGTAATTAGTGGGAACGTAGGTAGTGCTAAAGACAAGCATTTTGTAGCACTGTTACCGCGGATACTTGAATAGTATCCATTACACCAAAAGGTTGATAAGCTTGTTGACTTTGTTTCTGTCAGAGTTCCCAAAGACTGTATCTATGTTTTATTCAGTGTGCTATAAAGGAAATGATGTTTATATTATTTACTTTTTTTTTCCTTTTAAAACTAGAACTTTTCTGGAAAAAGAAGAAAAGTTCAACCACCACAGGTAAGTTACTCCATCTTCATTTTGGCTTCTTCAATAGATTAGTTAGATTTATATCTTATTAATAAAAGTTTCTACAGTGCTTGCCTGTCAATCATACCTGGGTAAGATTTGGAACTGAAGTAAAGGATAGTATAAACTCAGCGGCATAAGCGCCTGCCTTGCAAGCAGGCAGTCGTGAGTTCGATGCCTGTTACCAGTAAAAACCACAAAAAGACAAAAAAAAAAAAAAAGGATAGTATAAACTAATATACTTCAGTTGAAACCATAATTGCATTCAAGGGCAATGAATGCAGTGAACTAAGATGGGTTAAATATAAAAATCTTTCCCTGCTTATACTACACTTGATCTTAGCCAAAATGCAGAGAAACAGTAGAATATGTCAGCTACAAAATCCTAAAAAATAAGAAGTCCTAAAGTCTCCCATTCTCCCTTTGTGAAAGGAATTAGCAGAATCCAAAAAAGCAAAAGAAAAAGGGTGTCAGCCAACCTCTGTTGAAAATACTAGTATGGTAGCTACTGATATATCGGGTTTTAAAAAATACTAGTATATTAATGGTTAAATAGTAAGATTACGGCAATAATGTAAATTTTTAAGTTGGGGAAAACACTAAAATAATTTGGCTGGTTTTTTTTTTCACTTTCACTGCAACTGATCAAACCCAGAACTGCCTTTTTTTTCCCCAAGGTAGTTGATCTCTCAGAATTGAATTTCTCAGTATTGTAAGCTCAAACTAATCGTAAAGTTTAATATTTTACTATTGATTAGAATATTTTTTTCCAAAGTTTTTTTTAGCCTTTTAAAACACAAAAGATTCAGGAGAGTTTTTCCTTAGGCAAGAGAAAGAAATACTTAAGCCTTGTTATTTTGTACCTTTTGATTTATGATATAGTCACTATATATAGGTAGTTTTTAAAATTATTCTCCTGAGAAAAATCATTTCATCATGCTGTTGAATATTTTAAATATTTATAGTTCATTTAGCACTTTATCTGCATTAAGATACTTCAGGGTCTTATTCAGCAATTTGTGTTATTGTTTTATAGCAGAACTATTCACTGGCTGAACTTGATGAGAAAATTAGTGCCCTCAAACAAGCCCTGCTCAGAAAATCAAGAGAAGCAGAATCTATCGCACCTCACCACCTTCCATGAAAAACTCCTCTCCTCCTTGTCATTTTACTTTTTTATGTACATGAGTGTAACTTACACTGTAATTAGTTAAATGGATATGTATTTATCAGTGTGAACTTTTCTGTGAAGTCAGAATTTATTTTTACATGAGTCTGAGCTTGTAGCAAATACTCTACAAGTATTCCAGCAAGATTTGAAATAATGAATGTTTTGAAAATAGAATTGTTGAAAACTGTTCCCTTCTGTTTTAAAGGAGGCATTTTGGAAATGTAAAGGCTTAATTTGAACCTTTTTTTTTTTTTTTTTTTTTTTTTTTTTTTGGTAGACCACAGAAAGGAAGATTTTGTGATACTGTTTTGTGATACTAATACTTAAAGGGACTTTCTAATGTTGGTTAACCAGTTTATTTAAATTAGTACCTTGCTTTTAATGGGTATTCAACAAACAATTTATCAATTCAAATGAATTTTTAATATGTATGATATGCTTGTAGTTTGCTTTTTCAGACATCAGTATTAATGTAAATAAATAATAAACCCAGCTTTATTCCTTTATTAAATGTGATCTTGAACAAGTTACTTGATCTCCTTTCTAATTTCTTAACTGGTAAAAAGGGAATGATAATAATAGATAATAATAGAACCTACTTCATTGATTTTTAGGAATTAGTGAGATAGTTTTGATACTGTGCCAAAGGAATTGTTCAGCAAATATCAGCTATTGTTAGTGAGTGAAACATGACCTATCCTTGGACAATAGTAAAAGATGTTTCAAAGAAATTATATTGTCATAGTTGCAAATTAAATGTTTAAAAAGTCCAACCAAAGTTATGCCCAGTGGTTCATGGAGCAGCTATTCAGGTCAGAAATAATTTGATTGTGCGAATCAGAAAATTGCTTGTAAACTGAGAATTATTTTAAAAAAAAATTACAAGTGCAGAATTTCAGTGGGAAATTGTACAGCTAAACATTGTAGAAGCTAGAACATCACCGGCAGTGACTGACTGTTATGTCTCTGACTGCCCCTTGGCTCTAATTCTCTCTGGTTCTTTCTCGGTCACCTATTCACTGTTTGTTCTCCTTTTCCCTCTGTGTGCTTCTCTCTCTTGCATGTTCTCTTTCTGTTACTGGTAATATATGCATATACAGTATTCTTTGAACTGGTTTCTCTTCATTGCCACTTCCCCACATAGGGAGACATGTTACTCCCATTTCCATAGCCCCAGTTCGGACTTTGACTATCCTTGGTGCAAAACTGTAACTCAACTCTGTAGAACCTCACAACCCAGATAAGCTCTGCTTACCTCTTATATCTCTTCCTCCAAAATCTTCAGAGTTCAAATCTGAGGCTGATGAGGCATCTCAACCAGTTGTGGTAGGATGCTGCGGGCAGGTCTTGTCCATATGAACTTGCAGTGTACACAAAAGCTTGTGGTACAACTGTTGGAACCTTGAAAATATTGTCACCAGGTAAATGTATGGGAGGTTTGGAATCATTCCCAAAAAGTATACACAGGCTATGTTGATTCCACTATATTTTATCTCTGTAGAACAAATTCATCTTTCAAAATATTCCCTAATATGATCCAACCTTATAGGTATAGCTACAAATGCCAGCTCTCTAGTTTCTATCTGATCCATTTGATACTACCAGAATGACATCTTCCAACTTCACTGACATATTTTACTACCAACGTAACCACCAGAATAGTAGGGAAGATAGCATTAAAAACTATCATTTAGAAAAGGAAATTAATTTAGATGTAGGGGGGAAAAAAGCCTGGAAAACATACAGATCACTAGTCCAGACCACTAAATACCATGAGTCAGTTGCAAACTTTGCTACTGTGGCAGTAGTAAAGATTCCTTAGTTATGTCTGAGAGTCCTAGGGTCTGCCCATTAGGAAAGTTTTCTTTCCATTGTTTTAAGGAACAACAGGAAGGGAAGTCCTCTTCATTAAGTATTGGCTGGTGCTAGTATTTCTTTTCTTTACCACTTGAGTCTGGAGCCTACAGAAGAGAGGAGCAATATATGTTGATGTGAGTTGGCACAGGTACTTGGTCAAGAGTAAGGTTCCTCTGGTGATAACTACTCCAAGAACTTCAGTGGGCTTTCAATATTGTCTTTCTCAAGTGCATGACTGATTGAAAGATAATGACAGGCATTTTTGTGAGATAAATTTGCTCCCTTAATCACCAGACTTCCTAATGACTTCCTTTAGGATTTCTGTTATTTAGCTCTTCGTTTCCCCATTGTCTCTTCCTAATGGCCTTGTCCTCAAGAGAAAATAGGACAAGTGATTGAAAAGAAGCTTAGTTATTGGGACAGGAAAGCACGTCTTCCCCAGACTGTCCCTGCGAACCCCTCCCCTCCACAGGTTACATTCCAGTCTGTAAAAGTGTTTTGCAAGGGACTGGGTGACATTTTATCTTGCGGAAACAGCTGGGCTCCCTGAGCTATTCTGGCTATTGTGGGGTACTCTCAGTCACTATGCTCCTGAAGTTTTTCCAGATTCATGAATAACATCCCAACCTGGTCTTTTTCAGTCTCAGCAGAAAAGAATTCTCTATGAAATATCTTTCTGGTTTCTGTACAGGTTAGGCCTACTCATGGCTGTGGGCTCATTTTGTTGCTGATTCTGTCTTACCTCTTTGGCTCTAGTGTCCATTGTTTTCTTTATGATTTAAAATCTAGGAAAACAATTAAAATTCTTAATGTGGGCCAACTGTCCACTCTAAAACAGTTACCTCTGACTTGCCTGGTAAGGTCTTCAAGAACAGAAGTGCTATATGCGGCTACTCCTTTATGTGGTAAAGGACACTTCCAACAAAGAACGTGGGCTAGGAATCCGCCTCTGTGATTTAGATTGATTAACATGCAGTTGGCCTTTATAAAATTTGCAACTTCTAAGAAATTTTTTTTCAATGATTAATCAAAAATGTTTTATGATCCTAGGGATAGTGTTCACATCTGTGGGAAATGATTTCATTTTGGGATTTCTTTTTGAGCAGTTCTAATATTTTACAACTTTTGGTCATAGATACCTTTCAAAGGACAAAGAAAAAGTTTACCTTTTTTTCAGAGCTCAAGATTGAATCCAAGGCCTTAATGCCCACTGGGGAAGTACTCTACCACTGAGCTACATCCCTAGCCTGAAAACACACTTTTTAAAAATGAATAAAACTGTTCGTCATTTCCAGTGGATTCCTTAGACTCTTATAAATCGTATCATGAAATCTTAGTAATGTATGCTTTTTGAAACATCTTGTAATTTTATCATTTCTAAGCAATTATTTCCAGCTATGCAAAAACAAAGACTAAGAAAGTGGAACAATGAATCTCTTAAAAGGGTAATACAACAAAATAAATTATCACTAGTACATCACCCTTTGGTTTTCATATAGCCAAAAGTATTATTGTTTCAAGAATTATTGTATGAATTATTTCAAGGAGATATGCAGATTTTGGACAAACACTATTTTTAGAGTCTTTTTTTCCCTACTAGCTTTCAAGGAATATTGAGTGTAATTGTTTTTTTTTTTTTTTTTTTTAGCTTTTGCTTTTAATGGCAAGGACTAGAAGAAAATAGGAACTTCCATTCATCATTAAAAGATTCTGAGGTGATGCAAAGAGACAAAGGGCAGTACTCTAGATCCTATTGACGAAGCCTGGGAATTATCTTGTAAGCAAAACTCAAACCTTGAGTCTTAAGATGCATATTCTAGATAAGCATTCACATACTGAGGAATGAGTGACCATATATTTCCATAGACAACAACAAAGAAATATGGTATTTTCATCCAAGCACTCAATAGGAAGGGCTTAACTGTGTAATATTTTATGATAATGACCTGAATCATCTTATTTTGCTAACTGATGGTAAAATTCTCTTTAAGCTTTTATGATGCTCCCCCATCAAATTTATTTTATATAGTTTCTAAGCTGAAAAATATTAAAGACAATCATGTTCACAAAGGTGAATGAAAGGTATTAAATGATGTAGAAATGAAAAAAATCAGTGGGCTAATCAGTTTAATTGGTGTTGATAAATCTAAAAATCGAAATGTATTGCAATAATTACCACCCTTCAACAAAATCTTGTCATGAGAGTTTTTTAAAGTATTACATTTTGTCAATATGAATATAAGAAGATCCAAGAGACATAATAAATTACAACCTAGTAGAAATGTATTTGGAATCAGGAATCACTATTTACAAATTGGCTATATTCCAGGTTTATTAATGTAAGTGGCTAACAGATAGTTACATTCAACCATCATTACCATTTTGAGTAAACATACTTTCAAAACTAAGAAAATACGAAATAAAAATTTGTTCACTATTTTGAAATTCTTACTAAAATTTCTAATACTTTAAATTTTTTATGTCTGTAAATTATTCTTAAAATGGCTTAAGATATACATTTAATTTCAAGATTCATTAGACCTAGATATAAATGATAACTACTCTGGTATGTTGACGGTTAAAATGTATTTTTCAAATCTCAAGATCTTTGTAAAAATCCATATATCTAACATTAAATTTCAAGTAGGAGCACTTTCAAAAACAATCCATCCTTGTAGGATAAAAATGCTTCAAATGTTCTTATTCTTAAAACTTGCAGCTTTTGGTAAGCACAGCACTGTCTGCAAAATCCAATTTATGAGAAGTAGTACTTTTTTGTCTTTAAATGGCCTTTCTAAGACGGTCTTTACAACACTATAAATCACTAGAAAATAAAAGGTCTTTCCAAGCTATCTTAAAATTAAAAATTTTAATAGTGATGTGATTTTATGCTATGAAATAGGGTTAATAAATGTTTGCCATTCTAGGATGATGAAATTGTGAACCCATTTTTAAAATATGAACTATTTTAAATATAGAGAAAAGTATAGACAAACATATTTGAAACTTGCAACTTTTCACTGGACAGTTTTCTGTTTTTAGCCATTTTGATTTATGTAGATTACCCATTTTGTTGCCATTTAATATTACAAATTATGGATAAACTAGATTTTATTCCAAAATTGTTTCCATTTGTACTCATATGTGGTAACTCTGCAATGGGTAGCTTTCCAAGCACTTATCTTCCAACCTTGGTAAATGAGTTACCGCACAGATTTACTAAAATGTAATTTTAAAGAGGATTGTGGGTTCACAAATTTATGAGAGAAAACCAGACCTATTAAGTGGAAGATAAAAACTTGTAACCAAACATAAAATGTATGCCCACTTTTTAAAACTATCTTAGTTCTATTTGTGTGGGTGTGTGTTTGTTTTTGTTTTGTTTCATTTTGGGGTTTTTTAATTTTGGTTTGGTTTGGTTTTTTGCTATATCATCTCAGTTGATTTAAGTATTTAGGCCTGGAATAATATTTGGAAAGTCACTATGTTGCTGAAGAACTCCAGTCTTCATGAGATAAACAATTAAATATCAGCTATTCACTGTTTTTCCCCCTTGCGCTCAGAATCTTGATCTCATTTTTCTGTCTCAATAGAAAGCAGTAAATGAACTCTCATACTAATTAATAAAATGTGAAGAAAAAATATGACTTATTGAAAGGTCATGGCTTCTCACCTTTATAAGTCAAAATCTGGGGAACAGGAATTAAAAGAGCATTTTGTGAACCTCAGTCTCTTGCCTGAGGCTAACAGCCTAAAGTACTATTATGATTTTTAAAAGGAGATTATGGAAATTTATTCATTCAACAGATTTTGAATAATACAACAACCACTGTGCTAGAGCAAGGAATATAGTTACATCCCTTATCCACAGGGTACAGTTATAAGACCCCTAGTGGATGCCTAAAACCTTAGGTAGTATGAAACCCTATATATATTATACTGTTTTTCCTATATAGACATAGCTATAATAAAATTTCATTCATAAATTAGGCATAGTAGGAGATTTACAATAAAATAGAACAGTTACAACAATATACTATAATAAACATGAATGTGGTCTCTCAAAATATCTTGCTATATTGTACTCACTCTTGTGTTGATGTACATCTGAAAGTAGAGTGACATGCATTGTGGTGTAAAGTTAAGCTACTGTGTAAGGTAATGAACACAATAGTTAATCTGCAAAACAAAAGGCAGGTAGCACATACAATGTAGATACACTGCACAAAGGAAGCAGGAGCAGACAGTTTGCTATTTCATCACCCTATTCAGAATGGAGTGTAATAGAAAGCCGGGAATAGTTTATTTGTCGAATCTTCTATTTAATATATTTGGGCTGTGATTAGCTATGAGTAACTGAAAGCACGGAAAGTGAAGTCTCTGATAAGGTGACTCCAGTAAACAGATGCATAAAACATGAAACTTCTGCTCTTTTAATCCTTCACTAGTGTTTCTCCTCTTTGGTACTGAAAACAGGCGCAGTTGGTTCTTTTAAAGAGAGATAGAAGAATCTGGAAATGCTCAAGAAGCATAGTTTTCATGTTCAAAAGAACACGTAAATAAAATTAACCCCAAAAGCTAAACAAAATTAGAGTTGTATATCTGGTATTCAGCTTTGAATGCAAATCACAGAATATTATTCAATTGGCTTGAACAATAAGGTTTATTAATACACGTATGAAGAATTCCAAGTTGATCAATTCACTAGCCCAGTAACAAAATCACTGAGGACCAAGGTTCTTCCTATATTTCTGCTGTCAACTTTCAGCTACTTTAAGATGGCAAAGTGGCTGTCACACTTCCATGTGTCACATCCACATAAAGGACTAAAGAGCAGCAGAAGAATCAGTGCATCATATATCTCCCTAGAGGGAGATGGCCAGAACTGTAGCACATGTTCTTTTATAAACCAATCACTAGCATGAGGAATTAAACTTCCATGATTGGTTGAGACTAATTATGTTCAATTAAAATTTCAAGGTCCCACATGCCAAATATTCCCTATGTGTAGCTGAAAAAATAAATGTAAACAAAGCAAGTAAAGGACAGGCATTGTGTAAAGCTCCAGGGTACAGAGACACTGATATGAATGGGAAATTAAAATTTCTGTTAAATAATTGGATCATCTGATTTTATGTTACACATTTCCACCTCACGGGGAGGTACCCATTTCTTCATCAACTACAAATCTTCCTGATAGGTTCTTACTCTCACCAAAATAATTCCAAAAGTTGAAACTTCAACTGGTAAGAATAAAAGAAATTAGGTATCAATAGCCAACCCTTGTTCACAGAAACACTATTACCAAAAGAATAATCTTTTCCCTCAAGAAATGGGAAGCTTACTCTTTTATATTTTGCCAGTGAATCTAATTTTGGGTTTTATGCCAGTGATTAGAATAGAAGGAATTCTTGGATTAAATGATAATATTGACAAGAGAAAAATAATCCCTTGGATTTGAAGAGTATTTTACATTTTCAAAGTGCTTTCACACACTTAAACTACATCTCAATTCTTACTCTGGGAACAGGTTTAAAGCTGTCTACATTCCTTATTTTTTACATGTAAGAAATGCAATATGTCAAAAGTTAAAATATCTCCCCAAGGTTTCATATGTCCTAGTATTTAAAGAATCAGACTTCTTAAAAAATTACTTTATTCTTAATCCAGTGTTTAGTAATCCAATTATTTTATTCCTAATCCAATTTAATAAAGTTGCACATTTAAAATTTGTTTGACATTATAAAGGCCTATTAAAACTAAAAATAGAATCTCTCAAAATCTGAATATAATATCTTTTAGGTTTTACCTTCTCTAAGCTAGCTCCACCTTTGCAGTTCCCAAAATTTAGGAACCTTTTTATTTTAAACTATTTTAACATGCTCCTCTTTCATTCCTTTTCCTTTATTTTTTCCTGTAATCTTCTCTTATTAGAAATTGCTAGTATATTCAGGTGAAAACATGAAAAACAAAATCAGTCAATCAATTTACTTGACTAAGATTTTTATTTTCCCATTTATATCAATGTGTGTTTAACCTTGAGTTTTGCACAATTGTCCTTCGCTTTATTTGTTTGTATTTATTTTTCAGTTATAAATAGAAAAATTTGGCACATGGAAGCCTGGCATTTTAACTGAGCTGAATTAGCCTAACCCAATCATGAAACTTTAACTCCCCATCTAAACTCAGCAACCAAACCTTGGCCTGGACACTTGTGTGACTTTAAATCTCATTTGAACAGTATTGAAAAAGATTCTGAAAGGGCCAAAAGTCAAAAAGAAGAACAAGATTACCTAGAACTGAACACTCAATGACAAGTTGGAGAAAAATATCACTAGAAGGAGCCTTGTGTAAAAGGGAAAAATGATTCCATTTTCAAGATTTCCAGAGGAAGAAAAGCAAAAACATGTTTAAACCTATTAAACTTTACCCCTACTTTTCAGAACTGATGGATGGTAAAGCAACAGATTCAACAAAAGGGATATTTTCTAACCACTAGAAGTGAGCAGCAAAAATCTCCTTATGAGAACTATGACCAGCCATTCCCTTTGGTAACACAGATTTAAGTAAAGATTACAGAGAACACAAAATGTGCATTTGCTCAGACCAAACTCTAGCCAGCCGCTCACCCAAAATCTTCCCTTCCGTCCGTGTCTTGAATCAAACTCAGCACTTCTAAAACTAAATTCCTGACCTCTTCCTCTGGTCACCTTTCCCATCTTTTTTTTTTTTTTTTTTTTTTTTTTTTTTTTTTTTTTTTTTTTTTTTTTTTTTTTG